ATTAATAGCAGCTATAGAAATTCCCTCTGGATACGGTTCTATAATTAAAGCACGGCGACTTAATAGACGATCAGTGAGTGACAGCAATAGCATTTCATGGGTTCCAACTCAGACGGTTGTTCTAACTTTTTCTGGACAAAAACTTCCTCCCCATATTTACTGTTTTTACACCTCAATGCCAGTGGAAAAATATGTTTTGCCACTAATTCAGTGTCATAAATGCTGTAGATATGGCCATGTTACTTCCCAGTGCCGATCATCTCCTCGCTGCTTTGTATGTGCACAGAATCATGAAGGTTTATCTTGTACTCGACAAACTCCTACTTGCCTATTCTGCTCTGGTTCCCACACCGCAAAAGACCCTACATGTCCTGAACATCTAAGGCAAAAATCTATTAAACTTGTTATGTCACAAGAAAATATTTCATATTTAGAAGCTTCAGCTAGATTCCCTCAGACAAAAAGATCCTTTGCTGATACAACAAGAATCCAGCCTCGTAATTGTTCTCAACAGACCCCTTATACTATAACTGACAGTCTTTCAACCCCTTCGGCTCAGCTCTCACAAACTGCATCATATAAAAAAACAATTTTTATCCCTCAACGTACCCGCAGCCCACCATTAAATTCTGGATATGATATGGCAGCCCATCAAGCAATTGTTGAGAATCCTAATTCTTCCCTTCCTAATGGGTGTGCTCTACTGGGAAATGACAACAACTCCTCTAGTAATGATAATTTCTGCGAACTTATGATATCAATTCTAATTAACATGATCTCCCGTTTTAGTGACACGGAACTTCCTCTCAGCTTACACCAAAAACTTACTCAGCTTTCCTCCTTAGCCCGTAACATTCGCAGTCCCGCCAATTCTTCAATGGAATTGTCGGAGTATTAGAAATAAAAAAAATGAACTCATTTACCTCATTAACAAATTTCATCCCTTCATTCTTGCCATCCAGGAGACATGGCTTAGGCCTGAATCTCATTTTAGGGTTTCAGGCTATGCATGCCTCCGGGATGATAGGAGTGATGGTCGTGCTGGCACCTCTATTTTAATTTCAAGAACTGTTACATTTTCACAAATTCCTCTCCCTTCTCATAGTCCAGCAGTAAATGCTGTTGCTATTAAGGCCCTTGATGTTTCTATTCTCTCTGTTTACATTCCTAATCCTGATGTAAATGTTTTAACAGAACTTGCAACACTTATCTCTTCTCTGTCACCTCCTATAGTTATTTTGGGAGATTTTAACATGCATCATACTGTTTGGGGCTCCCATCTGTGTGATTCACTGGCTCCCTTATTTTTAGATCTTATTGATAATTTTAATCTCTGTATTCTAAATGATGGGTCTCCTACCCGTCGAGTATCCCCATTACAAAATGTTAGAAGTGCCGTTGACCTAACTCTCTGCTCTCCAGATATTGCTTCCCTTCTTTTGTGGCAAATATTACCTTCTAGCTATGGCAGTGACCATTTTCCTATATTCATCACTCCTCCTACTTCACCTAGAATAAATTTTACATTTTGCCCAAGACTAAAGTATAATCTATCCAAAGCTAATTGGCAATTATATTCTAAAGTCTTGGAACAAGAGGTTTCAACTCTTCCCCCAATTAACAATGATAATATTGCTACTGTATATATAGAGTTCAGAAATGCAATTATTTCTGCTGCTAATAAGTCAATCCCCTTAAAAAAACCTTTCAAAAATAATTATCCCTCCCCTCCTTGGTGGGACCAAGATTGTTCAGCAGCTTGTAGGAGAAGAAAAGAGGCTGAATTAATATACTCCCGTTCTATGACTGCAGAGAATTATATCTCTTATAAAAAAATTGCTGCAGAAACCTTAAAATTACTGTCAGACAAAAAGCGAACTGGTTGGTTTAAATTCTGTGAGTCACTGTCACCTAGGACTCCCCCATCTTTGGTCTGGAGAAATGTTAAAAAATATCGCTGTGCAGTTTCTAGTGAAAATATAATTTCTAATGATCCTTCCCCGTGGATAGATGAATTCTCTAATAAACTTGCACCACAAACAGTCCCATCTTATGATGAATGCCTAGTTTTTAATTCTGCTTTTTTAAAAACAAATGATAAATTTGATTCCCCCTTTTCTTCTCAGGAATTGTTTACTGTACTCAATGGCCTTAAAGACTCCTCACCAGGTATTGATGGGATTCCTTATTCGTTTATAATTAATAGTAGTGAGAACACTAAAACTGTCTTACTATCCATTTTAAATTTTATTTATATTACTGGTGATCCTCCTGCTGAATGGAAAACCCAAATTATTTTGCCCATTCTCAAACCAGGTAAGTCTAGTAATGACCCTTCCAGTTACCGACCTATTGCCCTATCTTGTACTTTGGCAAAAATCTTGGAACATTTAATAAAAAATCGCTTGGAGTGGTTTTTGGAAAGGAATAATCTCTTACCTAAAAGCCAATTCGGTTTCCGAAAAGGTTTAAGTACCATGGATAGCCTAAGTACCTTGGTCACAGATATTCATATTGCCTTCTCAAAACATGAATTTCTCATAGGAGTTTTCTTGGATATTTCTTCTGCATATGATAATGTGCTTCTTCCTGTGCTCAGGCAGAAAATGCTTAATCTGAGCATTCCAGTGAGGATAGTCAATTACGTCTCTAACTTTCTCTCTTCTAGATCAATATCTATAAATGTTAAAAATCTCCTGCTTCCCCCAAAAACTATATGGAAAGGACTTCCACAAGGCTCAGTTCTTAGTCCTCTCCTTTATTCTATATATACTCACGATTTAGAACTTTCAGTAAATTCTTTTTGTAATGTTCTTCAATATGCAGACGATTTAGCTCTATACATCTCCTCAAACAACTTCACAGTGGCATGTTCCCGTCTAAACTCATCCATGGATTATTTACAAGAATGGTTAACTAATCATGGCCTCTCTTTATCTGTGGCCAAGAGTAGTGTGGTGATCTTTTCCCGCCAAAGGCGAGTTCCCGATATATCTGTTGTATATGATAAGCAACCTATTCCAGTTAGAGGCAATGTTAAATTTTTGGGAGTTATCCTTGATTCGAAATTGGCCTTCGGTCCATACATTGAATATATAACACAAAAATGCGAAAAAAACATAAATATTCTTCGGTCTTTGTCAGGTGTTTGGTGGGGGTCCCATCCTTTTTCTCAGAAATTACTTTACAATGCTTTAATACGAAGCCAGCTTGACTATGGATGTTTTCTGTTGGAGCCTTGCAATAAATCATCCCTTAAAGTAATGGACAAAATTCAATCGAAATGCCTTCGCATTATTACAGGGGCGATGAAATCCTCACCAATAAATGTTCTTCAGGTTGAGTGCGTAGATCCTCCTTTAAGATTAAGAAGGCAATACCTTTCAGACAGATTCTTATTTAAGATCTGCCAACTTTCAGATCATCCCCTAATTCCTAAATTGCACCTTCTTTCAGAGTATATCTCATCTGACCGATACTGGACCCATAAGGACTCTCCCTGCTTGTTTAAAAGTTTTGTAATTTTTCTTCAGCTTCCTTACCCAATCTTTCAATGCAAAATAAATCCACTCTTTGATGTTCCTTACGAGGCTATTGTTTACCGACCCGACATTCATCTAGATCTAGGTATAGAAAAGGATTCTCCAATGGCAAATTTGAAATTAAAAGAAATTATAGAAAACACCTTTAAAGATTGGCTTGTCATGTACACAGACGCTTCAAAACATTCTGATGAAGACTATACTGGAGCTGCTGTTTGGATTCCTAAGTTCAAAATCATTCTTAACTTTAAATGCCCCTCACTATCCTCCACTTTTACTGGTGAAGCAACTGCAATCAGTGAAGCTTTGTTATATGTAGAATCACATAATCTTAATAAAACAGTTATTTTCACAGATTCAAAAAGTTGTTTGTTAGCTATTTTGTCCAATCAATTCCATAACAAACATAAGTTTCCACTAATTCTTAAAATAAAAAATACCCTATTCAGATGCCATCTTAAAGGAATCCATGTTTCAGTGGCCTGGATTCCAGGCCACAGTGGTATCCATGGTAACGAAACAGCTGATGTACTCGCTAAAAATGCAATTGCTAATGGCATTCTACAAAATTTAATTTACTCACATGACCTAATTTTGCTAGCTAAAAGGAAACTGAATGAAAATTGGAATAAATTATGGGAAGTTTCCAAAAAAGTTAAAGGTAAGCACTATGCTGCCATCCAAGAGGTTATTCCTCCCAAGCCTTGGTTCTTTAAATTTAACAAAGCAAATAAACATGCAACTTCAATCATTTGTAGATTAAGAATTGGACACGCCTGTACACATGCACATCTGGCAAAAATCAGAGTAAGGGATAGCTCATTGTGTGAATGTGGCTTAGATGAAGGTTCCACAAACCATATTTTTTTCAACTGTCCCAAATTATCCTCCTCCCTTTATGATTACCTTCCTCCTTATATTCCTCGACCTATAGATTTTAATTCTCTTTTAACATATACCAGTACTCCTTTTGTGTATATTTTATGTGATTTTATTAATACTAATAATATGAAACTTTAAATCCTTGTCACTTTTAACATACGGGTAAGAGTCTAACACCTGTGTTTGTCATATTTGTTCTAGGTAATTCAACAAATAGATTTGTCAAAATTCTCGGAGGAAAACTGAATCCTTGTATTATCTCAGACTCTTATTTTAATTAAACTCATAAGCTTTAATTTTCTACTCAATACGTCATTGGCGAATTTTATCAAACCGCCACAAAAGAAAGAAGAAGAAGTAGTTTGTGATTTGTCCTCGATTTGTGTCGAGTGTTTCGGTGATTAAAAAAATAAATATTTTATGCGTCGCGCTAGCAATTTTTGAATTATTATGTAAGTTAAACAAGTACATTCCGTAAAAACATATGCCGATTTGTGATTTGAAGTGTTTATCATGTAAATGTGACGCGGGAATTTAGGTCTTATTTGGTTTATCCCCGTGGTTTATATCATTATCATGAATTTGACCCAAGAAAAGGATTGGAAGAAAAAAGTCGGTTTCCCTATTAATTATGATTCCGGCCAGAGTTCCGATGATGATTTGTAAGTATCCATTATTTTTTTAGTGATAAAGTCTATAGCAAAAGTTACTTGTGCAAAGCCGGAAGAAAAATGTAAATGTGTTATTTTTATTACAAACAGTTTATGTTGAATATTCTAATGTCATCTGTACTGTCTTAGAAACAGTAATTCATTTCAAAGTCAAGGAGCAACATAAAAATGGTCATTATAATGTATGTGTGTACTTTGTTAACCTTCAGGACCTGAATCAAAATTAGCCAAGCTAGTTACTTAGCAAATTTGAAATCTGAGGCTACTTCGTGTTAGTAAGTGAATTTATTTATTAATTTCATAGAAATGCTACATTAAGTTGTTGCATTATAACTTCTAGGATCATTTACATGTCTTAGCTTGATTAAGTTATATATTTGTGTATAGGGCCAAAATATATTGTTATATTATTAGGTTTTAACCTCTCAGTCCCCTAGCGGTCGAATCCGACCGCGGCGCAATTCCATTAAAATTCAAGCGTTCGGATTCAACCGCGCACACCCACAGCACTTTAAACCATTAAAACTTATATAAGTTTTAAAAGTAAAGTAGTTTCTAAATGTTTAGAAACTACTTTTCTATGAAGAAGGCATTATAGAATCAATTTGAAATTTTCTATCCTCTAGTGCAATAAAAAGTCAAGTTATCCTATGGATATTTATTTATAATCTACATTCATTTCATACCCTATTTTCGCGTTAATGTTATTGTGTTGATTTTTGGATTTTTCTAATGTTTTATTAGTGTTTTAGTATAGTGTTTTATTATAAAATTGTTATGAAAGTTTTTGTGTGAATATAATTTATCTTTTTACATAAATAATTTCGAGTAATATATATTGAAATAATTGTGATTTACATGCTTCCTACATTCGCTTGCTATGTTTTGTTTTTGTTATCAAAATACAATAGTCTTTTTGTAATGAAGTAAAACCTGACTTTTATATAGAGAATTTCATATAGATTTTATAATGCCAAACTTCTTTATAGAAAAGTAGTCTCTGAATATAAGTTTTAATGGTTTTAAGTTCTGCGGATGGGTGCGGTCGCATGCAACCACTCGGGATTTGCCAGGTGCATGCAACTGCATGGGATTTTTGTTGGGATTGAGTGGTTATTGGTATTAGGGGAAAATTAGTGGCTAGAGACACTATGTACAGAATAGGGTCATGTTAAGGCAGGTAAGAGGCAATCTCCTAATTTTTACTTAGGTAAGTTTATAATTGAATGAACCATGAAGATAGTATTATAAAATAATTAGACCAGTACCACCAGTCTCTATAGTTTAAATATGTAAGCAGTGTAACAATATTCAATACTAATTATTACTATTCAAAACTACAATATAATAGAGCAGTAAGCTCATGTGGCAATGGACCAACCATATAGCTTGAAGAAGTGACAACTGATGGGAAAGATAGGTTAATAATTGGCAGCCTCGTACTGGTAAAATAAATGTAGTACAGCCCCTTACTTTGGTGTAACGATTTGGTAAGACATGTAGGAAGTTAATTGATGCTTCAAGGCCGTGTTTTGTGGCATTCCTTGTGGAATTATGTTCAGCAGTGGACTTACGAAGGGAAAAGAAGGGTTCGACTCAAAAATCTTTCTTCCCCTACGGTAATCAGTTATTTAAGTTATATTGCCAGCCTATATCCATAGTTTAGCATAGTTTATGAATAATGTGATCATTCGAGCCATGAAATCTCGCGAAAGAAGTTCAACAGTCCTTTGATGTTGCAAGCAACTTCGGGGAGCAATCCCAGCATGCAGAGATGTTTAGCCCTGTATGAAGTGACCTAAGTGAACACGTGAGCCGCCGTTTCTTCCCCCTCCCCCATGCATGCCCTGCACAGGGGCTATCTGTATTTCGTGCTCAGCAGAGCAGGACAGTATTTCATGCCGACACACCGCCTGCAACTTTACAAGGCGCAGGTTCGGCCACACATGGAATACTGTTCCCATCTCTGGGCTGGGGCTCCCCAGTACCAGCTCCTTCTACTTGACCGCATCCAGCACAGAGTAGCTCGAATCGTCGACGACCGAGTGTTTTCCGATCGGCTCGATTCACTGGCACTGCGAAGAAATGTTGCATCTCTTTGCATTTTCTTTCACATTACCATGCATTCTTCCTGCATTCTTCCTGTATTGATGTATGGATGTCAAACATGGGCTCCTACTAAGTTAAACAGTAAGAAATTAAACATATGCCAGCATTCGATGGAGCGAAGCATGATGGGAATCAGGAAAAAGGATAGAGTCAGGTTAGAAGACATTAAGAAAAACACAAAGGTTCGGGACATAGCAACAAAAGTCAGGAAATTAAAGTGGAAATGGGCTGGGCATATGAGTAGAGGGAAGGAAAAGTGGAGCAGGAAGGTTACAGAATGGTACCCCAGGAATGGCATAAGAAAGAGGGGTAGACCCCGCCAAAGATGGGAGGACGACCTGGTCAATTTCGCGGGTGTGACTTGGAGCCGGGTTTCCAAGGATAGAAACGAGTGGAAAAGGTTGGAGGAGGCCTTTGCCGATTGGCAATCAGCAGAAGACAATCTAGATTTTATATGACTTAGATATTAAGAAATTGTATTACGTACTGTTGAATAAATGGCTTTATTATTATACCATGGAGAGTGCTCTGAGGAATTGTTCAGATTAATCCCAGCCGCCAAATTTCGTGAACGCACTACGCGGCAAACGTCCTGATACCGTCCACATCTGGATGCTTGGTGGTTTCTACATACCAGTGAACGAACATAACCAAAGGGAATTGGTATTATTGGTTCCAGCCATATAGTGGCCAGAGCCGATCCCTTTCTGGCCAGTTCATCTGCCGCATCATTGCCTCTAGATCCACTGTCTCCTTTAATCCATTGCAGAGTCACATTGTTGTGCTTAATACCTCATAATGATTTCTTATATTTATGCGAACACTACACATTGATTAAAACTACTTTTACAGATTTTATCGCATTTAATTTTAATTATTTTTATTTTTAATTCCCGACGTTTCGGGTGTTTTTCAGCACCCATGGTCACGGGGACTGAGGTGACTGACGTCCCGATGTCATTGTTAAGCCCGGAGTGCCTTCAGCTTTTTTAATTATTGTTTATGGTCCGATCTATGCCAAATGAGCTGACTATGTCCTGAGGTCTTGCAGTGGTATGCTTGGGTTTAGTTTTAATTTTATTGATTATAGGGTCCCAAGCAGGTGGTAGTACCCAGCCTCCTTCTCTATTGAAATTAAGATGTTTTTTAATTTCAATAGCCTCATGTATCATCTTTGTTAGGAATTGGTGTTCTTTTGCGAGTATTTGTGGTCTATCAAATCTGATGTAATGGTTGGGGCCATCTGGGATATGATCACAAATTGCAGACTTCAGCTATATGTTATATGAAGCATCAACGTTCCGGGAAGTCTGTAGATAGAGAAGTACTGTCAGTCAGTATTCTGATGGAGAAGTCTTTTACCTTCCTAGCATCTATCGCTATGGCCGCTTGGATGATGCCCATACATTCCGCCTGGAAGATTGTGTTATGGGTACACAGCGGTGTACCCATAACACAATATGTGGATATTAAGGTCTTCAGAGAAAGTTCCAGACCCTACACCTTCATTTGGTTTAGAACCATCCGTGAAAACTCTAAGCTCTTTTGGGTTTAATCCCTCCAGCTGATCGGTTTCATTTAATTGTATCATATACTTCTTATTGAATACATATTGTTTTGGGATCTTATCATACTTGGCTTGTAAGACAGGAATTTTCGAGTAATTCTATCAATTATACCCGTATGGGGGACTCAACTCTAACTTAAAAAATTTAGAGTCTTGAGTTTAATGGCAGCTAAAGTTGCTTCTTGTTATATGTGTAGATGACGCGGGGTTAGCTCCAGTATAGCCTCTAAAGCTGCTGTTGGTGTAGTTCTTATACAGCCTGTGGCAGCCATACATGCCAATCTTTGGTAATGCTGAAGCTTTTTTATAGTGGTGGCATCATTAGTTTTGGTCTACCATACCAGAGAGCCATATGTGATCATGGGTTGAATTACAGTTTTGTACAGCCACAGTATAATTTTTGGCGTCAAACCCCATCATTTGCCAATCATGCTTTTGCGTTGCCAGATAGTTATAGCAGCTTTATTGATTTTGTTTTCTGTGCTTATTCAAGTTAAGCTTACTGTCCAAGGTAAGACCTAAGTGTTTTACCTCAGACTATAGCTGGAATTTTGTACTGAAAAGGCTTGGGAGATGATAGTTATTCAGCATTCATTTTGTGTGAAAATTACTAGAACCGTTTTGTTTTATCATATTAGTTAGGTCATATTCCTTGCACCATCTCTCCACTATATGGAGAGCCGCTTGGGTCAGGTCGCACACCATACTTGCTGTCTTTCCAGAGACCAGTATTTCCAGATCATCTGCATAACCTACTGTATAGAAATGATTAGTATTTAATTTGTTGATGAGTTCATTAATGACCATATTTCACAGAAGAGATGACAGAACCCCACCCTGCGGGCATCCTTTCATGATCTGAATTGTTTGAGATTCACCAGCAATCTTTATTGTTCGTGTACTGAGCATGTTTACTATCCAGTCAATCAGCGCCGGTTCAACTTTATGTCTAATTAGTGCACCTGTTATGCTGGAGAAGTTTGTTCTGTCAAAAGCACCTTCTATGTTTATGAAGGAGCCTAGACATATTACTTTGCCTTAGATGGCCTCTTCAATCTTTGTTATTATGTGGTGAAGTGCCGATTCTAACGATTTACCTATGCTATAGGCATGTTGTTTTTCGTGAAGCCTATATCCATGTTTGCTTACTGTTCCTATTAACAATATCAGTTATAAATGTATCATGCACAAAAACTGAGCATAGCTCTCTCCATAGCTTGCTGAGCGACCTTAAGCTTTCTCATCTGGCCAGCAGTGAAGGATCATGTCTTAGATCCATGCTGAAAAGACCACAAATAAGATATTTGCAATAGTT